ATATGCTAACTTTTAACATCTGAAGTCTGTTTCCACTCTTACAAGCATTACTGCCAAACACTTAGAAGCATCACCCTTTGCCTTCAAAGCTGAAAAGGGTTAGAATTAAAACAGACTATTTGAAATGCTGGCTGAGAAAGGCAAGCAGGTTACTTTCTTCATATTATAAATTTCCTGTATTAAGTGTCTGTGAATGCTCATGCAAGACTCAACTATTGAGAATATCTTTAAGCATCAGTATACTTTATAATTAGCTTTCCTCTGAATGCAGAGAGTTTTTTTTTTCCCAAGAACCAACTTCTGTCAGACACTTTTTAGTAGTCTGAACACCAAGCATGTAAAGGCTGCTAATACATATCCATATCTAAAGATTTTTTGCTTATTTTTAAGCAATTCTTTGAATTAAGAATTACTGTTTTAAAGATGGACAATACTTGCAGAAAGGAGTAAACCTGAACATACAGCCAAACATTAAAAGATTTTTCCCCTATGGATGTAACTGCCCTCTATGGGATGCAAGCCAGAAGTACTTAAGCACCTTCGCCAGTTACTGGATACTACAACAGCTGAGAAGGAATAAAAGGTGTCTTTGGTTTTCAGAAAAAACAAGCAGCTATTCAGAAGCAAACAATCTTATCCCTAATGACAGAAAACCTGAGTAATTAACTGGCCGGTTGAGAGACAATTGTGAAACCCCTTCCTACTTGTTTATTACACTACCAAGAGAAAAAAAAACAAACCTGTAGTATAGGCAAATCTTACGTATTCTTCATGGACCACACTTGAATTTACAATGCACCATTTTGATCTCAAACTTGTCAGAAGCATCAGCCAAACAAATCCTCAGACAGATTTTTGTAACAGCCTTAGTGCTGACCACAGACTACAGACTATTTTTCCCTAAAATTCTTCAACTGAACACTCAGGTAATACACAGAACAGGGCAGAAATGTCTGAATATTGGTCATAATCTGATTCAAAGCTTTAACGAGTTGATGTGTTTCCAAGGATCCTCATCAGCTGGAGACAGACTTCTGCTTTTTTACCAAAGAAGGCTCCCCAAAGCAGATCCCTGAAACAGAGCACTGTTTCAGCCACACCTGCCTAGTGAAGCAGACAGACCTATCCAGCTAGAGAAAATCACTTACTACACACTGAAAATAAATTCCTCACTGCTTAACTCCTGCACACTAAGACAACATTTAACAAAGCTATCTATATAGAAGTTTAAGGAATGTCTACAAAAGGTATTCCTAACCTGAGGAATCCTTGTACCTGAGATACTACATAGCAGTACATGCCACCAGATTTGTTCCTATCCTCTGCTGAAATTCACATCACCACCTTGCTACGCCAAGAAAATTCAGTGCTGCGTCTTCCACTTTTACTCCGCTTTCTTCAGTCCCTTCTGGCATATGAGCTGATTCCCAGCCTTTTTTACTGCCTATAAGGTAGTAAGCAAAGTATCTGCCTGTCAAGAAAGAGGATTTACTAGCCCTTCTGTTCTTGAACACCCTTGTCCCCCTACCAACCCTGTCTGCAGAATGAGATATGGTGAACGTTTTAAATGAACACTGAACTAAGCCCTAAGAACTCTGGCCATGAACTCCCCCACCAGCCCATGAACCCTTACTGCAGCACATAGCTTAGAATGACTGGAGAAAGGTAGGGATAATAAAACACTATTCTTGTCATAACAACTCTGTCTAGGTTTATTTGCTAAGTCTCAAATGCATGTCAATCCAGACTAATATCAAAATTTCATGGATGATTATAATTTAGGCCTCCAAGTGCCTTTCAAGCAAAAAGCAATTAGCAGAAGGAAAAGTTAACAAGTTGGAAATAATTACCATGAAAAGACAGAACACAAACTAATCCACAAAAAGTAAGCATGAAAAGGCAGATGAGAGCTTTTAGTAGAATGAAGCAGTATTTTGAAATAATACTCTCAACACCAGCTTCAGTCACAATGACATTACAAGATTAAATTATTTTAATACTACACAGCAAAACACCAGTTTATTCAGAACACATGGAAAATACTGTGCAAAAAAAAAAAAACCCAGCATACTAGATTTAACTTAAATTTCAATCTTATGGAGACTAAGAATAAAACCTGTAAGTAGAAAATAACTAATAAAAAAATTTCTCAACAATCCCTTTAAAAAGTAGTACTTGCAACATACAGGTCTGCCTCAAATATGGAATCCACTTAATAAAGAGATCAGGTCCTCTGTGCCCTGGCCTCCTGCTCCCCCAGAATTTTCTATTGCTTTACCCTTTCAACTGCAGACCTGATAAATGCAAGATAATACTGATTTAATCTCCTATTCCCAGAAAATTGATTACAAACCTGAAAACTATCTATGCACTAGCTATTTTATCCTACAACACAGTTCTACATATAATAGTCTTATACTCTTTCCATAAATAAGCAACTACGGTACTTTACCACAGCAAGCAAGAAAAATATCAAATGCAAATACTCTTAGTTAAGTCAAAAACTATTAGTTCTGTCTACAGCTAAACTGCACACACTAAAAAAAACACACAAAAAAACCCCAAACAGTGAACTCTTACCAGCATGTACTTTACAGCAGTAAAGTAAGAGCACAAATTCAGCATTTACCATTTACACCAGCAGCACTCTGGAGACACTAAAAAATATTTTTAAATAAACCTGTAGCACTTCTTTGGCTACAAGGTATAGTAATTTTTGCATGAGGAGGGTTAACTGTTCTAAATGATCACTGAAACCTTCACTGAAAGATCCCAGTAACTTTTAGTCCATCCCAAAATATATTTTCTGCTCACGTGTGATCATGACGCATGCAAGCCCTGAAACAAAACTTCTCGATGCAAAAACAGGAAATGAAATTGTTAGTCTCTTAAGGGGAACGTGTCTCATGGAATCTGCTACAAATAGAGAAAAGTTGCATTTGGAACACATGAAAGCTAAATTTTGTCTTCACTCCTTTAAAACATCCCTACTTCACAAGCATCTCCAGAAAATAGGCATCAAGGATTGCATCTGGTTTATACCTTCCCTAAATATCTTATCAGTCTAGGTGAGAAAATATTTAGTGCTCACACTTCTCTTTGGTCACTTCTCTTTGATTACTTATTGTCACCCTATTTAACTGGTTTTCCAAATTACCTGCTGGACACCCTAGCTAAGGAATTGGACACACAGGCAAGCTAAATAGCTGAAGGAATGCAACACAGAATGAGAACAATCAGCACAACACTGTTAAAGCCTTTTGGTGAGAAATTCACAGAAAGCTTACCTAAAAATCATTTTTTATCCTACCAGTAATGCTGGTGGCAAACTGCACTAAGATAATTACAAACACATTAAAAACTCAATTCAGAAACAGTTTCTATTAATATTCTAATGATCCTGCTCATTGAAACTGCTAAGACTTTGAACTAAAGAATTCACCAATGCTATTACTTCAGAAAAAACAGAGGATAAACTCTTCAGGCAAGAATTCCTTGTGACTACGTAACACAAGGTACATGAAGTGAGACTTCTGACAAATTCCAAGTTCCAAAAAATTACATTTAATAAGAAAAGGCTTTTCCTCTTCTCCCAATACCAGATCTAACTTAAAAGTTATGAACTGATCAAGATGAACTTTTCTAAACTTTTGCTCAATCTCGGTGACAGCCATGCAAAGAGCTGAACATGCACCGAAGTATTTTTAAGCAGTAACTGAGAAGCTTACAATCACATTTGAGTAGGAAATACTGCTATGGATTTTTGAATTTTTAACCAGTAAATTTATTAACTGACCTTTATCAGAATTTATGCAATTTAAACCACTCCTTTTTAACAAAGCAGTTGTAACTCTTCCTTTCAAGGTTTTAAACGGTTTCATAATTTTAAAGGAAACTGGTACTCATGTTTAAATGCTTTAACATTTACTTTAACAATTTATGTAGAAGTTTGCTTTTGTATAAAAAGACTTATTTTAGTTGCTTGGCTAAATTAGTATTACCTTCACCACAAATTCCTTAACTATCAGCTTTTTATGAAAATTTTTTAATTCAGCAAGGCAAAACAAAACCACCACAGTCCAGGAAAGAGAGATATAAACACTCTGAAATATTTAGCAGCACTGAATGAATCACACAAACATGCACACTCAAGGAGGATTTTTTCACATAATGGCCAAAAACAAACTAACAGAAATCAATGAAGTTTAAAGGATTATCATAATACAAGCATGGAAAGCTTCCCATGATAAAAGGAATAAAGGCAGTAAAGTGCATGTAAGACGCTCATCCTAGAAAAGATACATAAAAATGTATATACAGCAGGTTTTATGGCAACTTCCTCTTTCTCACTCAAACAAAAGAAAACGCCTTTCATTTTAAATATTCCATTATACTTAGAAATACAGTTTCGTCTGTGGAAGTTGCTGCTACACAAACCAAGCAAAAGAGCTCCACAAAATTCCAGTGGGAAAAGTTAGGATAGTCTTAAAAGCCTTGGGAGAAGTGATTAACAAACACACATGCCAGGAGCCATATAAAGATAAATCTTTCAGGGCAGAAGACAACCTCTAGCTGCTGGGAAACTGAGGTTGTTTGGGGTTTGGTTTTGTATTGTGGTTTTTTTTTTTTTTCTTATAAGCAAGTTATTTCACAGAGGGCTTTTATAACATCTCATACTTTCCTGAAGAAGACTCATGAATAAAAACAGAACTGGACAGCGCAATGCTCTAATTCATATCACAGCACATTTTAAATTTTCAATCTTTAAAGAGAGTTTGATCATTTTCATAGTGCAAGAAGTTACCAGAAGACAGGGTATTCAGAGCAGTAAGCTTTTAGCAAACAATCACAAAAAAACCTAAGCCCCACACAAAAAACCAAAACAAACAAACACACAGCCCATCAAATCTTCCATCCACAATTAGGCATCAAGAGAGTGCAAACCTATACACACCATTTAGGTTACATGGTAATTTATAAAAATATCAATAACTACTTACCTACTACTAGCCCACACTCAGAACAAATCATATCACCAGCTCTGTAATCCTCCACTAAAATGGAATCTGGATGATTTGGGCAAGTCACCCTCGGAAGTACATCCAAACTAAGGAACAAATGAGAATTATTCATTACTATTAAACAAGCAGGCTGTACACCAAAAGCAAAAGAGTTCCTTCATGATAAAAACACCTCAGTAATACAGCAGTTAATGATTTAAATTACAGAATATTAACTTGATTACCTGAGTGGCACTTTTTATATGAATGCTGTAACACTAGATTGGACAATCAAGACTTCAGATCACCTAAATTACAATTTTCTTGTAATGTATCTTGTACCAAAATCACTTCAAATCAAAACACTAAAAATCTACATAACAGACCTGATTGAGTTACACTATGTTTAAACTACTGCTAAATGAAGTTTCCCAAGAAGTTAGTAGCGATTTCTTCATTCCAAATGTGCATTTCCATGAGCTACTCAGAACAGTATTATTTACCAGGTTTTTAACTCAGGAAGTAGTGCACATACAACATGTATGTTTGGAAAATTCCCAATTCAAACACTGGTTTATTTAAAGTATTTGAAGAATAAATGCCATTTTAAATTATGCAATTAATAGTGAAATCTTAACAAAAATAATCAGCTCCTAAGGCAATTACATGACAAGAAGTTCTGAAAACAGGGATCTCTTTTACACCCATGGATCTTCAAGAATTACAACTTCCTATAAAGCATTATTTAATACAACAGCTTTCAGTTACTGACTAAAGCAACAACCAATTGCTGCTAACCAAATGTTTCAAAAGTAAATACTTTATATTAACAACCGTTACATAATTCTACTAAAACAAATTATTTCAAAATTGGAGTAAAAAGTGTTTACAATTGGGATCTGTGTATTCCACAAAGCCATTTTGCTCAAGCTTAAAAGCACAAGAGTACAGAAGCTGATCTCAAAAAATTGATAATGACTACTAACTTCCATCTGATTAAACCAAAAAACCAATTTTTAATCCATCCAATTGTAAAACATTTTCCAACAGAATTACTCTGAGTTACCCCATTTTCCACTATTATTTCTGCCATTAATTCAGCCTAACCTATACTTCCCATCTTAATTTTCATTTTTTAGATTTTTCTAATGAGTCTAGAATACAAAAAAAATGAACATTTTAATCCACTGACTGTTCACAAAAATGTCTGCAACCTGAAACTAAAACTGAAAACCAACATAACTATTAATATTAAAATCTCCAGCAAGCATGCCAACACAAGATCTTCAGATGTAAATTATGTCCAAAACAGTGCATGAAAGCTCTTTAGACTACTTTCCTTCTATTCCCAGCCACAAGTTCCATATGACTGGTGACAAAGCATTCACAATTATCTGACATTTGGCATTACATAAAAGGCAGTGAGTGACACACCAAGCAAAAGGAAAAAAAAAAAAAAACACCAGATGCCTCAAAGAATACCAACCATGTTTTGTTTCAGACTTTACCTTCATAAAACATTGCAAAAATTCGTCTTCCCATGCCAATTTAACTCGGTTTATCCACCTACACCTACACGCTGTCCTCCTTGCAATGGGATCAATTTACTAAGCCACCTACACCCAAGGAAAATGCATGGCACGTGTATAAAGGGCCATCTCAGCAAATAACTCCCGAGCTGCAGCGAGACTACTCGGAAGCACTTCCTAGATCCTAGGACAGGTTTAGCAGGAGTTACGGAGTCACTCCAGTCTGCTCGTGGGCTTTCAGACTAGAAAGAAAAACTCGGTATGTCTCCAAGAGGAAAGAATTCAGAACCCGAAACCCGTCTGGTCGCTGAAGTCTAGTGCCGGTACGGATTTAGGGTGGGAGCCTAAAAGCAGTTTCCAGGCCCCGATAAGGTGGAGCCAGGCCAGGGAGCTGCACCTCGGCTCAAGGCAGTGCGGAGCAGGGGGGACACGGGGCCGCACCTGTGGCTGCCCGGCCGCGGGACGAGCGGTACCACCTCAGGCCCGCAGGGCTCGGCCCGGCCAGGCCACGCCACAGCCGCGCTCGGGGCACAGACCAGGCCGAGTCGCCGTTCGCACCGAGCTGTGGCTGACGAGGAGCTCCCCACACAGGACATAAATCCCCAAAAAAACTCGGCATCTCCTCGGAGCGCTGCCCAGCAATGAAGACGCAGAGCCGGCCAGCTCAGCCCCTCAGAGGCCGCTCAGCCGGGGGCCGCCCGGCCCGGCCCAGCCCGGCCCGCACAAACAGGGGCGGGCGCCCCGAGGCCCGACCGCCCAACGCCCTGAGGAACGGCCCCGACAAACAGGACACCGGAGAGGAGCCGGTGCGCCGTACACCGCGAGAGCCGCGCTAAAAAGGCAGCACCGGGGCCGAGCAAGGGCGGCGATGGCCGCCGGTCAGTCCCCAGGCGGTAGCGGGGGCGACGCGGCCATCTTCTGTCTGTGCCGCGGACGGGAGCGATGTCGGAGCCGCTCCCACTCCTCCCTCGGGCCCCCCGCGCCCAGACCGCCCCCGTACCGGCTGGTGGACGCCATGTCGGCGGTGCCGCAGCAGTGCCGGACAGCGCGCGGCCGAGCGGCCCCTGTAATTAAATCCCGAGAGCGGCGGGCGGGGCCGCCGAGCGCTCCTACGGGTGCCGCGAAGGGGCGGGCGCACGCGCGGTGCTGCCCCTTCCTCTCGGCCCACGCAGCGGCCCACACACCCCCTGCACTAGGCCCACACACCCCCTGCACTAAGCCCACGCGCAGGCCCCGGTTCAGCTGCACCTGCAGTTTCGTGAATTCCCACAGGAGACATGCGTGAGCAAAACTGTCCCGAGTTCGCACAGAAGTACATGGAGGGGGGGGGGCAACACGTTCTTGGCTCTGAAACTAAGCATAGACCAATTCCCCGAAAGGAGACGTTCAGTTCCTCCTTCCTGCCGTCGCCTGCCACAGCGGCTGTGGTTTGGCACTGGGCTGAGGAAGGACGAGAAGGCCCTGGCGCGTCTCTGGGCAGGGCCGCAGGTGTCGGGCCGGCCGTGGCCGGGAGCCCTCGGCAAACAGGCCGTGCTTGATGATGCAGCGAACACAAGGGCCGCTGGTTTGTGCGGGCTTCCCTCGCTACACCGCACACCTGCACGGTGTCATCAGCTCCCCTTCTGCCTCTCCCCTCGCATCCAGACTGGCAGAGAGCATCAGGCCAAAGAGGAGAAGAAAGCACAAAAACTGGGCTTTGCAAGGCCAAAGCCCTTCAGCGCTGGATTCGAGTCCTGGCTTTCACTGCCCAAGAGTTTATCCGTATGCAAAATTAGTCTGTAGAATGTCAGCAACAACTGGTTTTCAAGCCCAAGCTATAAAACAATGGAAATAAGTTTATTACTTCCGAATGACCCTACCCTCACTGAAAGAGAAGGATAAATGGGACAGGAGGGCCTATAGATTTTTGGAAAGTGCCTTTATTTCAATGCTTTAAAGTAACCAGTACTGAAGTCTCTCAACAGTTATAAATTTGCTATCTATTTATTAATCAGATACAGAGGACTTTTCACATCAGTAAGCCCATGTCTCCACTATACAACAAGAATATTTTTCAATTTACTATCTCAAAGGAAGAAATCCCCTGTGGTTGATAAATCCTCTAATACTTGCTAAAATTGAGTCCAAATAATTATCACAACCTCCAAGCACTTCTCTACCAACTGCAGTACTGTTTGCTGGTTGAAAATGGTAGGTTTAAACTTGACAGCAGATTTCTTAGGATAAAACAGAAATAGAGGGTTTGTCTTGGTTTCTCCCGCATTGTGTTCTACAAAAACAATGTTCTGCTGGCAATCACTGCCAACCCCTCCTAAGCCTATTCTCATTAACTCAGAATTGAAGGAATTTAATTTTCACCACAGAAGGACAGAAATTTTCAGAAAAGTTGCAAAAATACAATAGATATATCATGATTTTTTTTTATTCCTTGTCTGCAGCAATTTTTTAAGTAGCAGACAAAAAGTGGGTGATGTGGCAGATGGAAGTATCACTATTAACACTGTCAGCAGATCATTTTAATAATACACAAAATTTACCTTGCTGTCCCCAGCTGTTCTTACCCATCACTGTAGTCACAACAATAATCCTATTTTAAAAGTTGCTGCATTGATCATTCTAGAGTTTCTTAAAATTTCACACCAAATTTCTCACTTTGGCTACTGTAAGTAATAAGTGTTTAATTAAACTGCAATTCTTACATTGCTAATATTACTAGTACCATTTCAACAATAATGCAATGGGATATTCAGAGTCCTTTGCAAACACAATGAACAGTACATTAATGAAAGCAAATCACTGGTTCTTATTTGTGTGTCTAAAGGACCTTTGTAATGGTTTGTTGATTTATCATGTAGTTCAGTAGTGTGTTGCAATCTCAGTTCCTGCAAAACCACAGCTCCCCAGTGCAACTTACATAAACAGATTTTAAATGTGTTAAATAGAGTGTAGGTTTCAAAGAAATTTAGTGTCTAAAAAGTAGTTTATCCTGGAATTTAATATAGGAATTTTCAAATTAAATTAATTCTGAAATATCAGCTAAGTAAATCTAATTGCCGAATTGATTTTTCTACACAATGACTACATACCACTTTCAAAATACCAGCCATCCATCTTCTGGTGAGATTTGGGGAATAGCAAGACAGCTACAAAGACTATGGAAGTCCCTGCTACTGGACTACTACCCAAAAGCCCAAGACCAAGAAGTATTAATGAAAATACCTAGCAGCTCTTCCCTAAGGCCAGTTTCTAAACCTTTTTTTAGGTCCTGGCCATGGTCACAGTCTCATGGAACTCAGTTAAGAGTCCAGCTATGTGATCACAGAATGAATAAACCAGTGGCAAAAGAAGTTACTGAATTTGTTCAGGCTTTGCACCGTAAGAGCTGTGTCATTGTTTAAGCCCAGCTGGCAACAAGCAGCCCCCAGCTGTTCACTCACCCACCACCCCAGACTGGTGGAATGGGCAGAAGAATCAAAAGTAAAACCTGTAGTTTGAGATAAAAACAGTTTAATAATTGAAACAGTAAAAAAGAAAAATAATAATAATAATGATAATAAAAAGGATTTAAAAAAAGAAAAACAAGTAATGCACAATGCAGTTGTTTATCACCCACTGACTGATGCCAGACCCCATTCCTGAAGCCCCGGTGGGCTCCCCCTTCCCTCTAGCTCCCCAGCTGATGTACTGGGCGTGACATTCCATGGTGTGAATATCCCCTTGGCCAGTTTGGGTCACTTGTCCAGCTATGTTCCCTCACAGCTTTTTTTAGTTTTTTGCTCCTCCTCACTGCCAGAGCAAGAGACACAAAAAAGTCCTTGATTTAGGATAAATGCAACTTAGCAACAACCAAAGCATCAGTGTGTTATCAACATTATTCCCATGCTGAATCCAAAACACAGCACTGTACCAGGTACTGAGAATAAAATTAATTCTATCCCATCTGAAAGCAGGACAGCCTGTGAGAAGAACATAGAAGGACCACAGAGGACATAGCACACAGTCTTAAAAAGTCACCTACCTGGATTGCTTGTGAGTGTGGGAAACCCATCCACAGATTAAAAGATTGCAGAAAGAAGTGAAAAAGGAGGTAGCTAGAAAGGAATTCTCCATATTGACTTCCTTTGAAACAAGTAATTTATATACTGTGCTTGAAACCAAGCTAGTTGAGCTCCATAGAACAGCATTGGGCCCACCTCCATGGCACTCCTAGATCTAAAGAGTCTGAAGTAAGTTTGGTGTGCCATTGCCAATGTTGTAACATGGAAAGAAAAATAATGACACAAATAATTATGTCACTGTACATCTGATTGTAAAGGAGCCTCTAAAGCAAAGTTTTTTCTATTTTGCTTTGTAGATTCACCCATGTAATAAATACAAGGTAGCCATAAGTAAATAGAATTCCTATTCCAGATGCCACTTTCATAATTGTATTGAAGACTGAATACTTTCAGAACACCATACATAAATATTGTGGGAAATAAAATAGTAATTATGTAACTTAGCACTTTTCACTTTATTTAAACTGATGCAATTTCAGAGAAGGTAGGCAGGTATGTAGAGAGTCACTGCAGTTATCTAATATGAGCCATGGGTCTTAATCTTCCTCTACTGCAGGTTATTTGCTTTCACAAACTAAGACGTTTCTAAGTCTCTCTCTAGTTCCTATACTATCTTATACCAAAAACACCTCCCCCTTTTTACTTGTAAGCTTTAAAATACTTATATAATTTATTTCTTTTACACAGAATCCTATAAATCTTTTCTTTCAGTTAAAAAAATCCCATTGGGGTTTATTTAAGAGAAAAACAATTTATTTTTAAAAGATTGAAAATAATCTCTGAGTTGCATTAAACACACTTCAGTAAATCATTGTTCTAACTCCTCACCAGGTATCAATAAAAAGTTATTTACAATGTCATATTTATTCTGTAGTGTATTAAGCATTTTTTTCTTAAATTTCCAATTTAAAAAAGCCCTACTATTAGATAGTTATACTATATGGAAGAGTTAATAAGAAAATTCAGCCTGTCTGTTTATTCCAATTCTTCAGGATTACTTCAGCTGCATCTAGTGTGCTGTCTTTCTGCAAAACAAGAAACAGCACTATTACTGCAAGTACAGAGTTCCTGAAAAGAGTCAGTCATGATTATATAATCTCAGATCAGTATTTGATTATTTCAGTTGCATCCTGTCAATATCTTTTCAGCCAGTTTTTCATTGACAGTTGTTAGGTACAAATCTGGACTATACAAAGAATTCAGTGCCGATTCCTTGAAAATATTTATTAGATATATTTAAAAGATATAATCTCAGCACTCATATTTTCCCAATTAATGAAAGCAATACTTACATAAATTCATGGCATTAATGCAGTGATGTAACTTAGCAGCTCTGGTTTGGAGACATGCTAGCACACTTTCCTAATCCCTGTGAGTACAGTTGGGATTTTTCAAACTCCTTGCAACCATGTTGTACTGTGAACTACCTAAACATAATCCCTCCAAATTGTGTAGCTTGGCTCCAGCCTGGTGAGTCATACACGCAGTCTAACTTGAAACCATTAGTGCTGTTTATCAGTCACAGGTACAACCAGTAACTTCATCCTGGTTGTTACTGGCTCAGTTTTTTTACCATAGTCTTTACACCTCATCAAAAGAAGTAAGTAACACAAGGAGAAACTCCCCTTCATTACTGTTTCAGGCTAAGGCTCTGATCTCTATACAGAACAGCTCAGGATTTGCACATGTTCCATTATGCTGACTCTGTTATAGAACAATTGGGAAACAAGAATGTTTAAAAATCAATACAATAAGTTTAAAAGGGCTACCCATCCAGTTATTTTCTGCCAATTGCCCTTCCTAGCCATGCCACCTACACTTATAGTGTAAAGTCCCTCAGCAAAAAGACAATTGAAGATACTTTGTGCTGAATTTTACATCAAACTAACTTTATGTTCCTAAAAGCTTTCAATACAAGAGATCCTGGGAAAAATGTAAGTCAGTTTCTTGCAGATTCCTGTACCGCATTGATTTTCAGGACACAAATTTACCTTAATGAAGCAAAAACGTATGTATTTTTCAAACTGTTTCTTTGTCTCAAGACCACAGAATGCTGAAAGAGGAATTGCTGACAGTTTCTGAAACATAAAACAGAAATAGCACTTGCTTATTTAAACGTGTATAAGAAATCTGGTTTAAGCATGACAATTTTACTATTCTGTTTCTAGAACTCTCCCTCCCAACACATGAGGGAAAGACAAGGTTCAGTTTTGTATGCACTAGCTAGGCTTGTACTAAATTAAAATTACTTTTCTTAGGCAAAATACTTCAAAGGTACTTTTGTACAACTAACACTTAAGCATCCTGAAAAAAAACTACTGGAATGTAGCACAAACCTACAGTGTACATTTTCAATATACTTAAAATATTTTAGTCACACCATTATCAGCAACAACAAATAATATTTTGAATGGAACATCTCTACTACATTATTTAATAATTACACTTGCACTGCTCTTGCTTTCAATAGAAAAGCATTTCTAAAACTAGAATATGACAAAGACATCTTACCTTAGATGCTATCATCCATTTGACAAATTTATAATCATAAGGTTGTTTCTCATCTACATCAGAGAGATCCACATCTAAATGTAAAGCAAATATGTTGTAAGATTTCCTAGACTCCAATGGGAAGGCATTCATTAACAACATTTTATTACAGTTAATACTTAAGAATGAAGATATATGTTTTATTTTAACATATAAATTTAAAATTATACTCTAAGAAGTAAAATAGGCCAACAGATTGAACCTTTCCCTTCTGATCTGAGCACTTGTTTACCATCCAAAGCAAATTCAGACATGTAGCTTAGAAGAAAGCCTCCAATGCAATACTCCAAGAAGTCCTAAAGTCTGGGCTGTTGGGGGATCAGGGCTATGGAGGGTACTGAAGAGTGCATTTATTGCATGGACAGCAATAATCCCTGAAAATGCAGTTTTCTCATCTGTGAAATGGGGGTATCTAAAACTTCCTGACGCATGATTAAATTGTGATACCTTTCTGTGTTTAAACATTTCTGTCTGAATGACAAAAGCCATTTAGACCAGTTAGTGAAAAAATGCAGAACTAAAAAAACCCTTCCTCTGTGTGAATTCCTCCTCTGAAGCTACCATAGCCTGAATTTTCAAAAGGTTTGTAAATTTTGGTAGCATTTTAGAGTGTTTAGAGATCAGAATGCTTCCACGAACCTTCAGGGTGTGACTTCAGATTAGGAAAAACAAAGAAAAAAACAGAAAAAAGACCAGAAAGAGTAAAATACAAATGGTATGAACTCAGGCTATCCAGGTGCTTGGCTCTCAAATATTTTCATAATTATAGATGTTTTGAAAATAGGAATGTTTACCTACCTCCTTTATCCTCTCTAAAAACTTGCCAAACCTTTGCAAAACATGGACAACAAGCTAGGATCACAAATGCTTTGCTGAAGCTCATAAAATCTACCTTACCAGCTAAGGTGAAACTGAAAATTTCAATCCCAGTTAGTATCCCTGACAACATTATGCACACATATGTGTGCATATGAGATGAGAATATAGTTTAAAATCAAAGCTGAATTTTCTGATTAACCAAATTTACTTTCCACATGCTCTTTAATAAACTTTATACTGACTTAAGGTGGAAACATCAACAATCATAAAGTATCCTCCATCTGGAATGACAGGCTTTAGTCCAGCCTCTTTCAGTAGCTGAGCCATCCGATCACGCTTGCTCTCCAGCTCTCGAGACAGGGAGTAAAAATAGCAGTCTGGGTCATCCATGCGCTTGTAGTCCATCCAAAATGCTTGTGCCAAAGCCTCCTGGAAACATAAGGTCCAAAGTACTCATTAACACTCAGTACTCTCACAGACACTCCCACTTCCTGCTGAAATCATGTGGATTTTTGTTCAATCCTGGCCCATATTAAGCAAATCACCACACAAATTACACAAGATACATGTGTAATCTGCTCGTTACTTTGTGCTGTGGCATCACCCAAACACCCAATCTTCTTCTAGGCACTGATCATACACAGAAGTCAGAGTCCTGGACACAAGGGTTTACAATCTGAATTGAAGTTAAATTTAATTTTTTGATAATAATATACCATAGAATACTAGACACTAGTAGACAGAACTTTCATTTATATTTGCTAGGATACCATTAAGATTGTCATATTTTATGCAACACATAGTTTGTAGGTACAAGATGACAGAATCTGCAAGACTGATTTTTTTTAAATGTCTGGTGAGCTGATCAAATTTGTTTCCTCTTCTTACACACTAGAATATGTATTTGACAAATAAAAAATTAATTGTTGTGATTACTGTTTTATTACATGAGGCCAACAGCTTTCTTACACCAGAAAACAATCTCCTTTGCCCCATCTGTACCTACCTGTAATGGAGTTGGGCAAGTATATAGTGTATTTTGGTGAACAACTTGCAAATGCTTGATCAGGTACTCAGGACCAATGGACCAACCAAGCTAAGGGAGGAAAGGATGCATATATTACACTTACAGGCAGTGGCGTTACTAAGAGATAACAAATACTAAAAATTAGCCAGTCTCGAGTTTTTCTATTTTAAGAATTTGTTTTGATAAATGATTAAGAAAAAGCTGGTTTACACAAAGCTTAGTTGTGTAAACCATTAAAAAATGGTAGATTTGAGACAACAGTTCTATTTTTTCCTTATCCCCATCTCTCATAGGATACTGATCAAACTTTTAACTCTTCATGTAACAAGGGTTAGAAATCCAACTGAACATTTATTAGAAATGTTATTTCTAATTGGTTTAGAATCTTTCCATCTCTTAAACTCCTGTGTCAAAGCCAGTTTGAATATAAAACAAAAGCTCACTACTGCATCATATATGCTGTGGTTCACTTTGAACACATGATGAAGAATTTAGTTGCTAAAATATTTTTTTTTCACTTTCTGATACATATTTAAAAGTCAAGATGGGAAAACTGGTAAGTTAAAACATCATAATATCCATGTTTTCTCCAAGAATCTTTACTGATTTTGAACACAACATACTGTGGTGGGTTTTTTAGTAATTTATGCTTTCAAGAGTTTATCAATTACGAGACAAGAAGATAATTAAGACATGGGTGTTAAAGATAGGTAATTGCTCCAACTGAATGGTATTGTCACATTTTGTAGACATGAAGATTTGCCAGAAACTTTCAGAACACAGGTCATAAAAACAGAGGTGTTTTTAGAGTAATAAATGCATTCTATATAATTTAACTCATTTATATTGATTCCTCTTACCTTCCAGCCAGTTACACTGTATGTTTTTCCAGCACTTCCTATAGTTACTGTTCTTTCCCACATACCTGGCAACGTAGCTGTACATAAAGTAAAATTAATTTGGTACATATTCCATGTAATTTGAACAAGTGCACTGCCCCTAGCTCAGAGCTGTATGTTCACTGCAGCATCTTAAGCAAACAATGAGAATATTCTAAAATTATAGCAATTGTAACAAATAAGAAAGGATATATGGGCCAGTGATTTTTAGCATGAAAAGAAGGTAAGGATTAATGAAAGGAGAAAGAAGAGACAGAAAATAAGAGGTACAGTTTGAAAACTACATGTGAATTATCCTCAGCAAAAATGCACAATTATCCATAAGAAAAATATTATCTAAGGCTACCCATTCACCCTAGGACAGATTATTTCTGATGCCTGGTAATAGTACTATACACAACATTAACTCAGGCACTGCAACCCACTTTACTAGAATTGTCCAGTTCAGTGTCACTGGCTGTCTCAGACATCAGAAAAACAAAATAATTACTAAGACTTCTAACCCAGAACCAAACAACAGAACGCCAGAAAACTAGCAGAGTGAGTAAATAAATTATGCTGTATTGTACAATTTGAACAGGCCTGAGACTGACTGACAATAGCAGTTAGCTGAAGTGTCTGCAAGGATTAAGGGACTCACAGAGGCCTGTCTCTGTCTTTGCAGCTGTATCTGATAGGAGACCAAAACCCTTTTTTCCCTTTCCAAGGAGATAACAGAGCAAAGGTCTCTTCCTGTAGTTTGCAAATTTTTTTCTCTATAAGCTTCTGCAAAGCTCTACTTGGACTCTAACTTAATTAATTCCAAGAGAAACAGACAAATCCAGACACACTTAAGTCTGAGACACGAAGTCAGTCAAGGTTGCAATTACAGTAGTCACCAACATCTGACTTCACCTTATTTGCATACTAGAACCACTACCAATGAATCTGTCAGTTGTTAAATCTCCTCTCTAGTGAAACCAATGAACAAAGATTTTCCAAATTAAACCCCTGAATTTCACAAGGAAGTTTTTGGGGCAGTTATGGGCATTAGACATGCCATAAGTCTTTCAGTTATTTGAAAACATGTATTGCAATTTTTTGAGCAAACTTACCAAGAAGAGAAACCAAACAGCATGAAAGAAACTGATTTTTCTATTAGCCTATCCATACTCAACTACTCTGTGACCTTGAAAAGAAAAAGTTTGAACAGATGTATCTTCTACCAAGCTAGGCCAACAGTACAGATCACTTCCTAGAGGCACCCAAACTAGCTCTCACAGACTGCAGAAAGAATTGGCTTTCAAAGCTAATGGCCTCTAGCAAGCCTGTTTTGCCACATAGTCACAGAAATTCCACCTTGGAGAGAGAATGTGACAGCATATCAAACAATAGCAGCAGTACAAGGGCACAGAGAAGGAAGCAGCTCCATTGCTTTTTAGAAACAAGTTTTACATAAAGAGGGAAATTTTTCCGTGCCACTTGGCAACCATATATGACATCATATGACACCATAACCAAGTCTGACTACAATTTAAAAATTAATGAAGTGCAACTAACATATAATAAGCCTATTACCTGGGATGGTACTCAGCTTGTTGAGTGGCTTGCTCAGAATTCTCAGTTATGAGGTGCAGTCTCTAAATCTGTCAGGGCAACCCTAATCATAATGCAGAGGAAGTCCACATTTTTACAGAAGTCAGATGATGGGAAACATGATGAAGTGTTATATGCTACAGAAAACTGCTTCAGTGACAGCACAAAGACTGTACTAATTTTATGAGCTGTGGCTAGCAACCCCTGCTAAACTGTATGAAGGAACAACTATCAGATCCTGTAAATTGATGCAATATCCATTTTGTATCTCCCACAAAAAAAAAGTGTCACTGCATTGGATAGAATATGTAGAGGTTATTATGGAAACACAAGAATTTATAAATAGAGAAATAACACACTCATTTTTATTGTATTATTTTTTTAGACTTAAAGTAATAAGGAATATGAGAAACTTAAGTAAAAAAAGAGCAGAGCCTGTTTCTTTCACTGAAATAATGTTATTGTTTATAGTGTTACCCTGAAAGTTCTAGAGTACTTTTAACAGTAAAGATGATATCATGAGATCTATTAGAGAATCCATACCTAAACCTAGTTGACTAACTTTCTGGGCTTTAATTTGCATTTTCTTTATACAGTACTTTTACATTTTATGCTAAATTACAGAATGCCTTTGGCTTGGTGCAGTGTTTTGGTTTGAAGCATTAAGATGCTGATGCCAATGGAGATACTGCATCTTAAGAATTCACCACCTGTCCATAAGATGACGTGTAGTTCACAATGTGTTTGGACCTGCTGCTTTTGAAAAGGAAAAAGGATTACCTTGCACCATACAGAGATTTTGATTCTGAAGACAGCCTTGCAGGAAATGCTAAGGACATGAAACACCTGCTAAGCCCACGCAGAAATCTTTAATCCAACTGACTTCACTTTGCAGCTGGGACACATGATCAGTTACTGTTAGGTAACCTTTTAAGATGCAGTGACTCAGATTACTATCACATTAATCTACCCAAAATGTTCCTCTTCTTCCATGTCTGAAGGTCTTTGAGACAGTATCACTATCAAGGCAACCACAACAGCCATGGAATTAGGTCACCCTCAAAACAGACTCACAGCCTATGCATGGCCAATACAATCAATGTACTGCAGCTGGATGATCAGCAACTGTGCAGCTAAGCTAACAAGTATTGCAAGGTCATTTAATATAATTTTCTTTCTGTTACTCATAAGATTCAATTTTCACAATGATGTAGCGCCCACCAATGGATTTTATGGTCGCTCTACAAATATGGAATTAAACCCCAGAAGCAAAGTTATTCAGCATTCAACCAGTGCCAGAGCTAGGAAAAAAGGTAAGTCTTTTCATGTCTAATTTATACTTAAGTGTCTTGATTTCATTGTTTAATCTTAACTATATGCCTCTATTGGACACGACTGAAATGTGCCTTCAATACAACAATAAGTACATCAGAACAGGTAGTTCATGCAAGATGCTACCATGAGAAACAAAATATCTGTACATATGAGAAGGAAACACATCAGCAGAGCCAACCTGAGGCCACCAACTACACCAGACTAGAAATTTTCACAGAAATACATAGCTGTAGTTATTATAGAACTGGCAATGGAGTTCAGTAATCTGCACTAGGTTAAATTGTTCTGAGGCAGTGGGAGTGATTCCACTAACTTCAGTGAAAATAGGAGCAAGTAAAACAAGAGGATCAAGAACCTGGCATCATTATTTGTTTTTCTGGTTTGTTCTTGCAATGGTGCTTTACCCCTGTAGCAACACTACCTGAAGATTTAACAGGCTTTCATACTGCACTTGCAGGACTTACTTCACTGAATTCAATGTCCAGTATTTAACCCTGTCTCCATGCTTCCGAGGGACAGTACTCATGCACCATCTCCACAATGACTTTTATAATACTTTTTAGTTTTTTATAATTAGTGGAGCAAAAATAATTGTGTTTCTCATTGTCCATTTCCCTCATTATTATCTCTACAAAGCTTTGAGAAGGAAGTTCTAATTCCTGTTCCTTCTATTAGTTCTTCGGCAAAGCACTGTCTAATACACATACAGTAACAGCAGCTATACTTGTCATGGCCAACAAAGTAACTGAATAAGGATGGCAAATTCATATGATCACAAGATCATATGATTACAAGCATCAGTCCCACTGGTTTCTATGGATATCTGCTCCAAAGCCACTTAAAAGCTTTGGAAATTCTATCTGGAAATTATTCTTTAAAATAATTTTTAGAAAAGAGAGAGGATCTCCTCCTTAGAGCCTAAACGTTGCAAAATTTCAAAGCTTGAAGTATGAGCTTCTTCCAGCAAGCATTATCCTTGGGAGGCAAGTTCACAGCATCATTCCACAACCGTTTCTAAGATGCCACAAAAACATCAGTACCTATTTTAATGTGTTTATTTCCTTTATACACCAGCCATTCATACACCTCATCACTGATGCACAGGGTGTCATGTTTAATACAGAGATCAGCTATTACTTGGAGCTCTTCCAGGGTAAAAACCTGGGATATGGGAAAAGTAAAGGAAAATACATTAATCACAGTATTTAAGGCATTCTTTGAAATTAAAGCGGTGTTAAAGCAGGACTCTTACCTTGCCTATCGGGTTGTGTGGGGTATTCAGAATAATTGCTTTTGTTTTGGAATTAAATTTATTTGCAAGTTCAGCAGGATCTAAGACCCAATCAGCACTAGATGCAGAGTTTCCATCATTTTTCTAAAAAACAAACAAACAAACAAACAAAACAAAAAAAAAAAAAAACAAAGCCACAATAAATTTATATGTGACTTTAATACATGTTGCAGCCTAAAGAGAGCTGCTCAACTTATCACTCTCTAATACTTTCATAGCCATGTGTGACAACCTATCCAATCTGTCTTGCTCACCTAAGAGAAGGTTGTTCTAGGAACAGCTAAATTATTATGACAGTGGCTGTACTCCTCTGGCCACTGTCTGTCTTAAAGCCCCTGCAGGAATTGGTTTCCAGGATCTTGTTGCACACATGCTGATTATTACAGTGTGTAATGCAGAAACCCCAGTCACATGTCAGGAGAGTTTACAGACTTGCCAGAGAATAGAGCAAATGTGTGCTCGCTTGACTGAAAAGACTGATCACTGGGGGTTCAAGGTCTTTTCCTCCTCCTTAAACTAATGAAAATGGCCAAAGAGATAAAAATCTGTACTACTGAGTCTTTGGAGTTTATATACTACACAATACAGTATCCCCAGGGTATTACAAATGGTTAAGAAGTTTGGGCCAGTTGGTACAGAGAGCATGGGACATGGCCACACTACCCTTGTGACAGCTGCAATGACTGGGAGAGGTCCAGACCAAAACAAGGGTGTGAAACAGAAAATGCTTGGAGTTGCCCTGTCATTTGAAACATTCCTAGAAGATGGACTTCCAGAGGAACAGTCTCACCTACTCCCACTGCAGTCCTGAAGGTTTTGTCACTCTGTGTTGTTCTGATTTCATGGTGTTCCTGCAACAGTGCTGCCCAACGAGGCCCTCAGCCCTTCCCGTGCAAGGCTGCTGGTTGCACAAGGCACAGCTGGCATACAGAACAATCCTTGCAAGCTGTGGGCATAATGCCAGCAGTACCAATTTGACAATTAACCTATAGCCTATTTGACAATAAAGGAAACAGTAATTCTTGTATGTATAGCAAACACATCTACTACATGATCAGTCTTTATTTAGCAAGCATATTTTGGAAAAGAAACTGTATTCTGTCATTGTAGGAATTGCTGCAAGGATCAGGAACCAAACCTTTTGAAAACCAACTGACAGAGACATTGCACTGATACATGGATCCCCCTTCCATAATTTGCACTAAAAACTGAAAAAAGCAGTTTTAATCAGCTTTCAGAATGCACAAATTAAAGCAAATAAGAAACATTGTTGCACCTTCTCCAACACTAATAAAATATTCTCTTTTGGATTATCATGGTCTCAGACTTACACTCTAGCAATCTATCTCATTTTTATGTCATTTGATATTACAAAAAATGATAAAGAAAAGCATCATATAGATGTTCATCAAACTGTATTGAACATGGATGAGAAACTTTATATAATCAGTAATTTTTAAAAAGTTACTCACACATCTTAGTGGGATAAAAACAGGCTTTGCACCCGCCATCTTTACCATTGGCTCATAACAGTCATAAAATGGCTCTATTATTATTACCTGAAATGACAATCATCAGTATCAGAAACAAAGAGTTTACTGTGCATGATAGAACTATTCCAAACAAAAGAGACTATCAGAGCAACAGAAAAGCAAGTGGAGAATACAAGTGAAACAAATGAAACACTGAAAGCAAAATATACAACAACACAAAAAGGTTTTGTCCACTATGGATAGAAATATTCCTGTAAAATGACTTTTTATATCATTGTCAAAAAGGCAGACATCAGTAATAGTGAAGAGCTGAGTCATCACAGCTAGTATGGTAACTAACAAACTTTTTTGCTACCTACCTTGCCACCATGCAATGGCTCAAAACAGAACCTCATACACAATGGTTACCCAAACACCAACAATTCTTTGTGCCACCCTTAGTTGTCTGTTGCAGACAACATCCCACATGTTTTCTCAAATAAGAAATCAGTGTGTTTTGTGTCACCTAACAGTAACAGTGATAAAGAACCTGCCACAGATACCCTAAGCGTGAAAAAAGGTGTTTGTAAATTGATGAGTGATAGGAAGACATCCAAAGGACAGTCTCCTAATCACAGCTTCTGAAATCATAAGTCAGATGTACAACTGTAAAAAATCAAACCAATAGGGACAGAAAGAAGCCCCAACATTAACTTATATTTAGAAGGAGACAAATAAGAAAAAGACTGTCATGTCTGCAAGTATATGTGAATATTTCCAGTAAAAACTTACTTCATCTCCCTCTTCAATTAGTGCCTGTATTGTACTAAAGAGAGATCCATAAGCTCCCACAGTCACCAGGATATCTGTGAGAGGATCAATCTTTCTTCCACAAACTTTCTCATAGACTTGAGACAAGGCTTTCACCAGTGATGGATGTCCCTGTTCAAAACAAAAAGAAAGTAACTGATTGGAGCCTGCCTGACAAGGTATAAAGCCTGTGTTTGGGCTTTTTTCTACGTGTACCAAACAATTACATTTTGAAATAGAAAAATAGAACATTAGCCCTCAGTGCAAATGGCTGTTAACAGGTAACAGGGTTTAAACTTTTTGCACACTAGGAAAGAAAAGCTTGTTTTCAATTTATTTGTATCTACTCAGAAATTCTTTTTCTGTCTGGTGCTTTTTAATTTCTTTCATATTATCACATCTCAGAGTAGGTCCAGATAGCCTATAGCCTAGCTAGGACAAGAGACAGAAGGAGAGAAGAGAATACTCTGACACTAATTCACCCTCACCTCCTTTTGAGTCCCTTTCAGCTCCTTCTGTTTCCTTTCTTATCTTTCAACTAAAAGTATTTGGTGCAAGAAAATCTTTTAATTGTATTTATATATTGCTGATAAATAGCACTTGTGATCAAAATATTTATTCATATAGTCACATCCCAAACCCCAGAGTACCATTCACCATTTGTGTGCCCTCCAGGAACATGGCAGTTAACATACTCTTCTCAAAATGTGCAAATAAAAAGAAAACAAACATGCAACAAAGAGCATATACAACACAGAAATAAGAAGACGCAATTCTGTTTATTCAGGAAAACTGCAAGATTCCTACTTTAAAAATATTTTTTTCTTTTGGGATGCCAGGTAGAAGTAGAAAACAGCTCCTTGAGAAAATGCAACTATGTAACAAAAATCCTCGCAAATATTCAACATTATATTTTGACACACAAGGCATTAAATCATTAACCCTTCTATAAACAAAAACATTACCATAAATTAAGGCTTACAAATCATTGCTGATTCAAATGACAGCCATTTCTTGCCATGAGCCAGTCAGCAGGACAGGAATGCTGCAGCACCCAAGCCACATCAGGCCACTCTATGGTCCTACAGTCATTGAGAGCTCTGAGTTCAGCTGACACAATGGCTCGGTTCTCAGATGGATGGCCATCATTCACTCTCATCCCTCCCACGTGTGCTACCACAAATACTTGTGCTCAAAAACCTTAGAAGTGCACAAGTTTGCAGATGAAGTACAAAGGTTGAATATGGGAATATGAGTAAAAATTCCTCTTTAATTACTATCTGCAGTATATATACAAATATCCATAATTATAATGGGAATATTAAACCATTTGGATATAAAGAATAAAGTGACAGAAATAAGTACTGAACAATTCCGTGCATTAGGAAAATTATATTTATGCTTGATTTGCAAATAGTTTTACAGAATCAGTCTGCAAATATTTGTCAGAAGGTAGACTTGGCGTGGTTTCAGCTTGACATAGCTGAAATGTTCTTCTTAGTAGCTGGTAAAGTCTGTTACAGTTCAGCAGCCAGACACAACTGCAGCCCATGTTCTCTGTGACCTTGTCCACTGTGCCAAGGCTCCTCCAAAACCTTGTCTGCTTGGTGAACAAAGACTTTTCAGATACCATATTGTGGGTTATGTACACAATAATGCTTAGCCCAGAACTTCACTTAGTTCAGGATATCATTTGCATGTATCTGACATAAAATAATTGCTTTATTCTTTCAAGTCCACATAGACAGAATTTTTTGTTATGCGTGTATATTTATATGTATGTATATATGTGTGTATCTCATTCTTGCAGAGACTCTTTGGACATAGCTAAAGGTCCCTTTTGTGGCTTGGCCTTAGACCTGCTGTGTCACCCTGGAGCTGCCCAGTGGAGACTGGGTTATGTCTAACTATGGTTAGCATTGCAGAGCCTGATCTGGGGACTGACTTCCTGGCTTGTTCTCAGGTGAGCTGAGCTGCCTCAGCCAGTATCTCTGGGCATGCCTTGCTCCCCAGGGCAGAGCTGCCCAGTCCTCCACTCTGCTCACTGTGAGAGCTTGTTCTTTAGGGAAGTGCTGGCCACTGCTGCTCCCCATCATTTCTAATCCATGCAGACTCTCAGGGAATAGGCAAAAAGTTATGTTGGAATATGCACACAGTGATACCATAAGTACCAACACAGTTTCTGGCCTAGTGGCCTATACAATGCTTCTCTGCCCCTGTTGCATAACATGGTCAGCTAGAAAAATACTTGATAGACTCCTTAGGGTCTTGTAGCAGTCCTGGCACATGATTCTTATTTGGTCAATACAACTTGTCACGAAACAAAAGACAGACAAACCAAACAACGAACTGATCATACCAAAACAGTAACAGTCCCCTGGAATACCCTGCCTTGGACAATGATAAATGCCATATACTCACACCCAGCTCAAGACAGAAACTCTACAGGCCAGCTTCAGAACATGTAATAAATATATTCTAGGGACAAAAACTTCCTGTTTTCATCTCTTCCTAGTCTCCACTGAAACCTACTAAGTTCTGTAGGTGAATCTCTTCTTGATCCTAGAGGTGCTGTCTCAAGTGGTATCAAGTATTTCTTTCTCATTCTCCCATTGTACTGTCTGATTTATGTTCTCACTGACCAAAGTCAGAGGTAAATGTATAACCTACACTCTTTAAACTGAATCAGCTCCTCAGAGACCTCCCATACCTGCTCTACCATTCTGCTCTTGCTGAAGGATTCTGCCTCGAAGAAGCCTACACAGGGGAAGTACATTAGTAACAGATAAGGCTACTAGATGAATTTAATTTGGGACATATCTATGATCTATAGATAAAACTAATTTAAAGTTATTTTTTTCCCTGAACTTGGGTCCTGGAGTTCCACAATACTTACAAAGCCTCGGGTGTACTGGTTCAGTCTGTCAACTGCTGCTACCTTTGCCAGCTCTTCTTTAACATAGCTGGGAGGGGATATATCAGGAAGACCTTGACCAAGATTAACAATTGAGGGATCTGCTGCCACCTTTGTAAATTCAACCCTGGAAGGAAAAGCATCTTAAAGTTAACATACCAGATAAAATTGTCTTTTTATTCATTAGCACTGGAAGACAAAACAAAAGTATTTCAGTTGCCAAATTTACAGCAATGGGGACAGGTTTAAGTAGAATGGAGAGCTGAGGGCTGAAAAAATGTAAGTGATCACAGGAGTCAGAGGGCACCCAAGAAAAGATTGATGGTCTGCATCCATAGAACAACATTTCTGGTAGAAGTGTGCTTAGATGTGCAGATACACAAACTCACAATTACTCTGGATATATGCAGAAATTGAATACCAGGCATGTTAAATGTCCTAAAGATTAAAGTCAGTGAATTGAAGGTGTCATTTAAACTACACAGTCACCTCAGAGTGCTATAATTTTTTAAAGTAATTTTAGGCAACAGACTGTTTCAGGCTGCCTATTAACTGTTTCTAATAGTCTGCAGGATCCTTGAACAATTTTTCCTTCCTCCCTTCACAGGTCAGCTCTACATTTTACTCTTTCCTCCCTGCTGAAATGTTAACAAGATTTAAAAAACAAAACAAAACAACCCTCTCCCCATCATAACACTTCCCACATAGCATCACAGTCCTGTCAAAAATGAATACAAATTGCTAAAAATTAGCTTGAGGCTGAATCATCAAAACACCTTGTGTATATGTACACAACTAATGCAACACATATATACAACTAAGGTAAGCCCAAAATGTCTTTTCACCAACTAGGAAAATTCCATATTTATGAGTGATGGCAATATTGCTGTAAGACCAATTTAATACCTAGAAAAAGATGTATTAAAAATAATGAGCCAAATTATAAAACAAGTATAAGGGCTTATTATAAAACAAGTATAATGGCTTTAACAAAATCTGACTTGGTTGGTAAACACAAATCAGGTGTAATTGAAACGCATTATTCAACATGTGCTTAAATTAACATTTAAATTTGAAAAGCAGCTATACTACAATGCCCATGAATTATATTTGTCTTACATGGTTTAACAGATGAAGAGAAGCCCAAGCCTAATATTTAAAGCTCAAAAATAAAAATTAATAATACCTTTAATTGAATTTAAGTCACTGCTTCTATATAATATATTCCAGCAGAGATAGCAACTGCCATGTATCTTATTATTAGCAATAATTATCTTTCTGGAAAGAAAATACATCAGCCAAGGACATTTTCTGAAATTTGCAGATATTCTCTTATTCCCCTCTTACTTACCACACATTGCTATCAAGGCCTTCAATTCGTCTTGTATTTTTGTGTCTGAAGGGCATTGTCTGCAAGATCAAAACATACAGACAGAAGGGTTTTGTTAAGAAGGACAAAGTATGGTATTGTTGGATTCAGCATGAAAACCCTCCTTCATGCTTTCTCAAATATACCATTGCCAGCTGAATTCAGTAATTACACAGAATTATAGACATGTTCTTTCATTAAAGCTTCCATAATAGCTTGAATTCAGACTGACAAGAAAATACACAAAAATGTCCTAAATTCTCATTCATCATTATCTAAATCCACTAGTGCATCTCTAAAACATTGCATGAAATATGAAATAGTTTTCTCTGTGGAGCCGAAGGAATACTTACTGCAGAGGTGGAGTGTTTGATGGCTCTGGAAAGCCAATCTGTTCTTAGCTTAACGCCACGGCAACAGAAGTTTCGTGAAGCAAGAAACATGCCTGCATAATAAATAAGTGACCTGAAAAACCTTACAGATTCTAGGAAAGAGCTGCTACACATCACTAAGCAATTTTAAGACAAGATCCTCTCCTCTTCCCCCAGTGATTTTGTTTCAATTAAATAAATGCTACCAAATGATTTCCTGGTCACAGATGTAAGCATAGAGATTGAAACTCTCTAATAGACAGGGCTGAAAAATGTTTCTGAGCGTCATCTCAAAGGAAGGTTTCCTTTATTTGAAAACATTGATTTTTCTTTTCTTTGAATAATAGCTAAGACTAAATGCAATTCAAGCTTCAAAGTCTCTGTTAGAATTCTTGTGAACATGTTTGTGTAATAAAAATTGCTATTAAAATTGCTAAAATAGAATATAAAAAGAGCCCAATTTTTTTAAAACTTACACATCTTTAAAACTTGTCTCCATTTCAAAGTGCTTCAAGTCAGGTATGCTGAAATCAGGATAATTAAGATGACCAGTTACACTGGAGAGGGAGGCCTATGAACTTTATGTAACTACAATAAGTTTTGTCACAGTGATTTGGCAAACATTAAGTATCTCCCACAGCTGAAAACAGCTAGAAAAGGCACTTTGTGTAGAGTAACATCATTCACAGACTGGAGAAAATGTGTCCTGTTAATTAATAACTATCAAAAAAGAAATAAGAACTGGTACTTCATGCAACTATTTCCAGAAGATACTTTAAAATATATACGTTAGATTACATTGCCACAATGACTGAAATATGTTAGACACATGGAACCCACAAATCTAATGTCAGAAACACAGTAGCCACAGCAGCATAATTATTAACTTTGTTTTCCATCATTTACTCATTAAAGGGTACATAACTTCTGTTCCCCGCCCCTGGCTTTGCTACCTGAGAAGAGGAAGAGAACAAAAAAAAAAAACCAAATCATACTATTTGTATTAGAAACAAAGGAATGTCATTGCCTCTTAAAATGATACCATGTGAGCCTCATGATAAAACGTAAATCAACAGCACAGTAAAAGATTGTTTTCATTAAGAAGAATGCTTTTAGTCCAACAAGAAAGTGTCCTTTACACTTATTAACTAATAGAAAAGGCCAGTCAAAGATGCTTCAATGCCTAAGTTTTAAAAGTATGCTGATTTTGCCTTTGTCTTACTCTTGTGCTACAAACTCAGTCCCACTTCTGAAATTAGGGTCTTTCTCACACACTACTGAGCTGTGGCCAACTCAGTTAGACCTTCAAAATAGCCCCATAATCCCATTGCATTTAGCAATCTGCAAGTAAACAATTTATGTTCATTTACAAGAAGAAACTCTGCTAGTCTGAGGACTAATAAAAGTAAACAGCAAGAAAATCTTTGACACCAGTCAGCAGATATTCTTAAAGACACAGAAGAAATACATGTGCTTAAAAAAGACCAGAAAATCCATTTCAATTGATTTCTAATACCACTTAGCATATTCAAGGTTATCTTTGAGAATAACTACGCAAAATCAAAAATATTATTAAGGTCTCTATTGTTCCCCTTGTCTAAGGTTACAAAAACTACTTGTGTAACATACTGATGGTATCTTAAAACATAACCATGACATTGGTGCTGTTCCCCAGGATCAGACCAAAGAGAGCACAACTCTTGCAGCCCACTGTGAACACTTGCAGTTGTTAGTGGAGAGAGACAAACATGCATATCTTTGCCTGTTTCATTTTGTATTGAGAAATATAAAACTTAAACAAAAAACATGCAAGCCTTACATGCAGAACTAACTTGCAAGTAAGAAAAATTACTGACAATTGTAAATATTTCCAGCATTAGTGCCATGGTGCACCAAAAAACAGAAACATTATTTGACACGAGGCAATCACACAAAAGCACCACACTGCATGAGCAGGAGCAGACCTGTGTTAACTGTGGTGTGGTCAATCTCTACCTGCCTAAAATACCGAAAGAAAAAATTATATCCACCTTTAATACCACAGAAATGTAGAAACTGGGAAAACTTTATGAGGAACATAATGGAAACGACTTTGCTGAACAGCCTCAGTAAGAATGGGCACTGGCATGTAACACTTCTCCCACTGTTTCTATCTTTGTGACACTTTTCCAGTGAAAACTGAACAGCATTTGTTCAGACTCAAGAGACAAGACTACTGAGCATTAAATGAAAAAGCCTCCCATAAAGTACTTTTATGACTTATTTTATTTCTAAAAATGCCGCTTTTCTGATCTGTAACTCTGAGTACCTCCACTTAGACTTTAAGTATGTCAAGGGAAAGGCCTCCTTAACATAACCACATATACTCCCACACACTGATCCTAAAAAAAAAAAAAGAAAAAGCAAGGCCTACTCCTACTCTTTTTTCCCAAACACACACATTCCCAGTATAATTTTATATGACATGTTAAGACATACCACAGGCTCAAGAGAGTTACTTTCACGATGAATGCACTCTCAGTTATTACCCCATATATGTTTTAGCACAGCCAAGTATGCGTAAAACACATCAATGAGATGGTTTCTATTATCCTGAGTTTTTATCATTGGGATAAAAGGTTTCTTCCAAATCAGGGAAGTTACACAATGCCAGGCAGCCAGAGAAGTACTGCAAACCCCATTTCAACGCTCTTCAAAATGTGTAAGGTTCTTCAAACACAGAAAATGCACTGATCTTTGTGGGGGAGTAAAAAGAAATATTTATTTCTTTCTTAGTCTTATTAATGTTTCTTTTTTCAATTTTGGAGTCAGACATCAGCACTTTGGCCAAGAGTCATGTCTGCTAAACCCAGAAATTAGATAAGAAATTCTTTTCATCCCATTCTAATTTTCAGTGCTCTGAAGCATTCATGTAGTGAGTCCTCCTGGAATTCAGGCTTGCATATCCATAGAGAAAACAGGAAAATTAACATGTTAGAGGAAAAGGGATAACAAATTACTACTCCTACAGCTTTCTATATTTTTAGAGGACTGAGAAATAAGCAAGGCTTACAGAAAGACCAGTGCCATAAATGTTTTTAGTGCAACTGGTAGCAACATTCTGGTTGCTAATTGGGTTGAAACTCAGGTTTGGTACTTAAATTAGACTGGAAGATATAATTTGACTTGGTCATGGGAAAGAGATGAATACATCTATGTACTAACAATCATTTAGTTCATGCTGTGCTTTCTAACTGTTCCAGCACAGATACAATCTCTCCAGCAGAAGAGTTGTAGGCTCTTCTGCTCCCTTCACAGCTGCCCAACCTCCTGGTCATACAGTACCCTGACCTTGGGATGCTGCTGAACCTCTGGGGCATTTTTTAAAAGTTACAATTTTGTAATTAATTGATTTTTCTCCTTTGAAACAAAAGGCCAAATGCTCCTGATCCTTCATTTTTGAGCTTCAGTTATTCCATCTCTAAAAAAACCATGTCACAGAGCTCGAATGACACTTGGTCTGACCCCTTAAGCTGCTGCATTTTTTCAGGTAACAAATAGTTTCATTTTACTGTGGATCCTCAGTGACAAACATTACTACAAACACTGAAAGCCTGTCTGCCACCACAGTAATGTCATAATGTAAATATAAACGTTATATTTGTACCGGGCTTCATATTTTTGGATATGCAAATCTAGAAAAAGTTATACCTCAGCTAAATGCTGTCAGGACTTTGAAGGACTGTCTCTTCTTGTTGTCTAGAGGATGAAAGCCCTGGAGAAAGAAAAGGTGCCATCTTACCAGTGGAGGGCTCTCCAGGACTTTTTTTCCTACCACCTATATGCAATAGATGGCTTATTGAGCCAAGAGAACTGTTGCCAAAATCACTGTACTCAGGAAAGTTGGGCAAAGGCACTGAACTTAAAACCTTCTGTTTGAGAAAAATTTATCACAGCAGTCAACATTTTGTCACTTCTACTTCCATAATCTACAAGGAACGGAGCAAACTGTGCGCGGAGAAATAAATTTTACCAGACGGTTCAAGGAGCGGGATGAGGTTGTGGGGTTTTTTCTTACTTTCCCCCCCACCTCGTAGAGCAGCTCTACCATGCAGCCACTCTGTGTCGCGCTTACGCTCCCACACACACGTGTTTGCAACCTGCAGCACGGGGCTGGGGCGGCCGGAACCCGTCGGGCACCAAGGCCGCCCGCCCTCACCCACAGGCCCCTAGGGCAGAGCCGGGGTTCCCCGGGCCCGGCCCGGCCGCTCTGCGGGACAACAAACGCGGCCACCCCGAGCTCGGGCTGGGAGCCGCCTCCCCCGCAGGCGCTCGGCGGAGGGCAGCGCCTCCGCCCCGGCCGGCGCCGCCACACTCGCCACACTCACCACCCCGACACCGCCTCCGCCGCCCGCCGCCGTCGCTGCCGATGGGGCGGGGCCGCCCGCCCCACCGCCCTGAGGGGTGGAGAGCGCCCATCCCTCCCGTTCCTCCAGTCCGAGGGCCGGAGAGCTCCTGTCCCGCCCGTCCCGCCGCCCTGAGGGGCGGAGAGCGCCCATCCCTCCCGTTCCTCCAGTCCGAGGGCCGGAGAGCTCCTGTCCCGCCCGTCCCGCCGCCCTGAGGGGCGGAGAGCGCCCATCCCTCCCGTTCCCCCGGCCCGAGGCCGGGTCCGCCCGTCCCGCCGCGGGTGAGGAGCTGCTGCGGGCGAGAGGGCCGCGCGCAGTGCGGAGCAGCGACAGGGAAGAACCAAGGCTTAGAAATGTCTCTCTCTCCCCGGTACGTTATGAAACTACACACACACGTGTACGTAGCATCTCCCAAACATCATAAAACTCGGCGCTTTCTTGGGAAAACTGGGCTAACTGGTTACCTTTCTTGGGCTTTGGCCTTTCTGGAGGGAATAAAGTGTCAAAATTGTAAGAAATTATCTCATGCCTAAGTTTACCACTTATAAGGAAAAAAATGAGATTTTCCAGATTTCTTAAGGCATTCAATAAACTCACAGAATCTGCATTTTTAAGGTTCCCTTTCACAATCAGGATGGAGACTTACTCAATTTGTAAATGAAAAAGTTCCCTTCAATCAACCTCTCATCATCACCAAATTTGATTATTCAGTTAGATATATATATATATATATATATGCAATGTCTTTACAGCTTACTTTTCCTGCTCTTATAAATCTTTATAGAACTGGTTTGCCTTAATATCAACACCATTGTAATTATTGTTTACATCATTGCATATCATTGTTTAAGAGAAAGGCCGTACCACTCAAATTAATTTTTTATGCTAAGTCCCATTATGATTCTGCAGAGCTGAAAGAACCCACAAATCAGATTTTACAAGGGTCTGATATGACCTACTGTCAAATACATTTCTTGCTCAAAAATGTTCAATAATACAGATAAATATTTTTGAAAGAACTGTACAAGCCAGTGAGAAAATAAGCAAGTCTTCATTGTTTCTTTTTAATGTGGATACTAAAAGGTTCTCTGATGTGTCAATAAGAATCACAAAGATAACAACTACGGGCAGAATGCAGATATAAAATGGGATATATTTGCATATCATTACCATATGTATTGTGTTATCTATATAATCATTGCATATATTCATAGAAAAAGAAAGAGTAAGAGCTGATTGAAGAGAACTAATTTCATAGAACAAACTAGAACACTCTTCTTGGATGTAGAAATACTCTGACGAGGCCAGAACAATACAGCAAAATTAAGAAACAAGTCCCAGCAATTATTTTAGATCCTAAATAAGACACAAAAAAAAATGAACACTTTTTAAAAAAATTTTTTTAATGCTTCTTGAGAATTCTAGTGGTCTCCAAATGCAGTCCTCTGGCAGAGAGGACATCTGCAAGCATGCACTGGAGGGCAGCAGATCCCAACCTCTGCTATGTCATGAGGAGCTTAAAAAGGGGAAAAAAGAAACTTTAGCCTACTATTGGCCTTTTGTTCCATTGATGTATGTATGACTTATGTACAAAGCTGTCAGGGGGTAGTCCATGAACTGTGATACTCCCCAGGCTTCTGCATCATCCTAGGCCCATGATACAGACAGCTGAAGGGATGTTGGGAAGATTCTCCTGGTGCATCCTCAGATGATGAAACAAGCACTGTTTGAGTCCTTGCCCTCAGTGCTGCGCAGTGTTCACCAGGCCAGCAGAGATGGTCTGCTGAGTGCAGGAGGTTTTGAGTATTTTCTGCTCCAGCTGGCACTGACATTTCCTCTCTTGCAAGACTGTGACTCTTGTAGGTGTTACAGAATCTTTTGAGCATGTGAGTTAATGGGATCCACTGCAGTTTAACTCACATGGCAAAGACAGCAGTGTCTGTTCATTTAGTTATAATTCTGTAGCCTCTGGTGCAACAGGTTTGGTTTAAATTTCAACAGAAGTAATATGAAAACCATATAAGAGGTCCAACATCTGCAACAATCAAAGTCTGCTGTAGTTGTGGACAGCTATGAAAATTGTAGTTGCTACCTATATGCAGTAGCAATTTTTCAAATTCTTCCCCCAGAAGGACAATTTTTTTAATGTAATGGTATTTTGTGCTTTAAGCAGGAAATCCTCACCTTGCATATCAGTCAGATGATCTTGAAGGAGGCCTGTCTCATCAGTGATAGAGAAACTGAGTAAGCAGTCCAGCCTTCCTACACTTTGAGCAGTATGTAGGTCCAAAACTTCTGTTTCAAAAATCACTAACTTAAAAGAATTTTACAAGTTTTGGCACGGCAGGGAAAACAGGAGGAACACTGAGCCTAATGATTAAATACATTGTCTGATGAATACAGCATTCAACAGTTTTCATAAACTTACATCAGTCCTGAAACCCAGGGGTCAGCTAAAGTAATAAATTTAGGTGTGGTGAGGCATTTGCTTTTTTTAGATTTATCTTTCATACGTAAAAATGTTATCTATTTCTATATTTTAAAAGTAACTTTGCCATCACCCAAATTTAACTTTCCTGACCTTTTTTAAGGACTCCAAGTATCTTGTACTGAGGTTCCGTTTGGAAGCATCTCACTCATTTTGTAACTGCTTAATAATGCCTCCTCAATTTTTGATAGAAGTCTACCATGGCAGCTTCAGATATTCCCATTCATTAGAAGCAAGAATTAGTGCATTTTTAGTCTAATTTCTTTTCATATAATCAAGCTCCATTTTTCTTTTTTTTAATATGAAAGGAGGTCAGGAGTTTCTACACTTCAAAACTGATTAGTGAGGCAGTTCAATTGAAGAGGACAAAATTACTTGGCAGAATTTGGGTGCCCAAGCACACTATTAACAGTCCATAAAAAATCAGCTGACTTCAGCTGTGTTTTGTCCATCAGAGTTTTCTACCCTAGCTGCAGTAGATAGGACTCTAATAAACCTGTATCTTGGTCAAATCAAAGTAGAGATGTAAACCATAAAATCTAAATCAGCTTTCCCTTGGTATATAGCCAATACTTTCCAAAATGGTATTACACAAGTCATAAAAATAAAACATTATATGTGGCAGTTCCAAAAGGCAGGTATGTGTGGTAATTTCCTTTTTATATGAATTTAAGGCCCTAAAGATTTTTTTTGTTTACAAGAAAAAGCATTTAATTACTGACGGGACATACAAGTCTTTGTCACAGACTTGTTTACTAACAAGAAATGGACAAAAGCCTATTTTTCTCATTACAAAGTCAACTGGACAGCAGATGAGAGAATCTCTTTGCTCACAATTCATCTTCTTAGTGTCTTCCTCTATTGCTTTGCTCCCTCAGAATTGCACAGCTATGCTTTTCAAGCCCTGCTTCTCAAGCAGAAGCACAGAAAGGCAGGCTGGTGTCTGCAGCAGCTCGGTGTCCTGTACTCGTGCCTGTGCAGTGGGTTAGGCAGGACACCCACACACCTCTCAGCCATGGATAATTTGGAGTCTCTCGGGTGGGAGGGACCATCCTTACCCCCAGCCCATGGCCCTGCTGCCACTTCACAGTCTGCCATGGTGTGGCTGCAAGCCCTGCTCAAGAAAGAGTGTGAATCTTGTCTTTTGCAAACCCTTATTTGAGGAGATGAGGAATTAGTGTGCCATCTTGAAAAGAATGCAGGATAATACAGATAAAGAAGTACAGCCCAAATATCTCACGAGCCCAGCTTTATTCCTAAAGGCTGAGTCCTGCCAGCATCTGGATTGGAGAAGAGGATGTGACTCTGCTCCCACACTGTGTGACTCACACTGGATTGCATAAGGGAAGTCTAGGAAGCTGGAAATACTTCAGAGAGAATTTCCCATACTACTCAGAGTATGGAGTATTAAACAAATGCATAGGATTTTTCAGTCATTTGGGGTGAGCTGTATGACACGTATCTGACTACATTGTTTTGTGGTTACACATTCCAAATATATGCCAAGGAACTCCCCATAACCGGTTGTGCTGTAAGCATTTATTTTGATTCTCATTAAAAAATAATGAGTTTTTCTTTTCTTTCCTGGTAGGCTGCACTGTTACAATTTGCTTATCAGATAGTAGTTACTGTATAAGCTTGGCACTGTTTAAAAAAAGGCATAATAGCCAATTAATGTGATCCTGGAATTCAGATTATACTTGCTTTATTGCCTCTAAAGATCTAATCTTAGAAGGTGCTGAGAGGACTCCAATTTTAAATGACCTCATACATTTTTAATGAAAGTGTGAGAAAGAAAATTGAATGCAACTGCAGAGTGAAGTGGGTGTTGGAAAGCTCTAGCATTTCTTAGCAGTAGCCACAAACAATTAGTTTATTATTTGGATATTTTTAATACCACCAATGCTGATCTTATATTGTGTCTATGTATCTTTGACTGCATTATAAAATTAATATTTTTATATTGTGAGGGTTTGTGGACAAAATTAGCTTCTTCCCCCTGTAGAATCATGCCATTAATAAAAATGAAAGAGGGTATGACAATGGAAGTATGTTCTGACAAATTCCAGAGGTACCTTCCCTGTATTTGAATTGAGGTAAAGATACTTTGGTATAATAGACCTTCTTGTCTTATTTTTCCCATGCTCTCTAGAAAACATAAAGCAAGTTTCTGTTGAGACATAGCAGAGACACTTTCTTCTTATGGGTTCCTCAAGTTAGCAGAAAATGATTGTGTGACATTTTTTTCTGGCACGGGCTTCAAATATTAGAGAACTGATGTGTACATGCTCTGGGGGGATATTTGGAATAATTTTTTCAGATAAATCACTGAACAGTCTCAAAATACACATTTAGAAAGAAGGCTGAAGGGAATGAGGCGATGATCCAAATTAAATGTGTGCTGAAAGACAAATAATTTGCCTTTGGTCTTTTGATCTAACAGCTTCCCTGAGCATCTGAGACTGCAAGGTGAGGAGCAGATACTGGTTTTTTGTAAGAGTAAGTTAAATGGTAAAGAGCCT